TCCAGCTAGTGGCTCTCAGTCCCTTCCAGAAGTCGCTATCCATCACCTTCATGGAGAGCTTTCATTTACTAGTACGCAGACGCATAATTAACAACTACAAAATCCAAAAAAAGTGACACGCATTTACTGCACACCATTTACACTTTTGAAGTGAAAAAACGAGATCCTTTTTTCGGGAAGGAGTTAACAAGTTCTTTGCCAAAAGCCAAGACGGTAAAAGTACAGAAAGATTTAGGATGCTCGTTTAGTGATTCTGAAGCTAACACGGCGTTTTTTGAAGACTTACTGAAGTTGAGAGCGCGAAAAATGCAAAATTCCTGACGGGTCGTTCTTCCAGAGATCTCTACGTTCACGGAGCTGTAAGGGTTCGCGTGCCACTGCCATCCAAATGTTCAGGTTCAGTACCACCAGAAGAGTTCAAAAAACTTTCTCGCTGAAATCTCGTATGTATACAGGGGTAATTAATGGCCCTGTTCACGATTCTGATAGTCATGGCGCCAAGGTAATCTGGGGTCAGCGTGGCGCTAAATGGCCACTGCGAGCGGGGAAGGATGCTGCCTAAACCACTAAAGAAACTTCAGTGTACTCCACTGTCTTCCAAGTGAGTAACTCAAATTTTGACCTCATTTTACGTGTTTCCTATACCTAAATGAGGAACACCTCATACACTATGTGTACTCACCTTACAGCTAAAACGACCCGAATGAGATGATTAAATTTGCCTATTCTGAGAAATTTGTTTTTATTCCTTCTTTGTCATTCCCAATGGCGTTTAGCAAAAATGGACCCTACCTGTGCGGTCTATGCATGGACCCCTACATCATGCAACAAACCGTTTCCAAAAAGCTCACCACATTCTGAAGGACCTTCCTTGTAAGAACCGTATCCAGTGCCACGCAGGGCTTTCTCTCGTATAAGACCTCTAACTTGAGTAATTAAACTTGTATGATTAACCTTCACATAATTCCAGTTACGGCAAGTGAAAGCTCCACAGAAAGCTAACATGGTAATTTTAAAGAATAGCCTACTTGAACGACTTTCCTAAGCTAAAGCAGTTCAAACCTCATGAAGTTATTGTGTTCATATGACGCTGAAGGCCTATGTGAGAAAGAGAAGTGAAGCGTGGCTGGAAGACGACGGCGGCAGACTGTTTAAGAAGGGATCCTAATCAGGAAGCAGTGGAATCTGCTCAAAAAAGGTGCTTGGGGGGAAAGCTACAAAAAAATTCTCACATCATTATCATAAGTTTACATTTTCCTGAATGAACTGCATAAATTCTAAAGTGGAATTCAGCGTAAGAACTATCTACAATTAATCAACTGCCATTCCATTCTCTGCTTCCCCCTCGGACGGTTGGTTATCTTCCACCGATGACTTCGCCGTCAAACCATGCTGGAAGTAGCGACTCCCTTGCTCGAACCTTCCTGAAGATAGCCGCCGTCAATGTCCGCGGCCTCTATTCTCAACAACGACTCGCAGATCTCGGAGAAAACGTCAAAAACGTGAAGCTCACCCTAACTGGATTATCCGAGACCCGGCGTCCGAATCGTGAGGGTCTTCAACTCGGTTCAGGTTTTGTACTTTACAATAGTGGACGTTGCGACGATACTCCCACATGCGCAGGAGTGGGATTGTATATGTCCACATGGATGAACAAAAAGCTCATCCGTTACATCAGCGATCGTACAAGCCGAATTCCTTATGAGAAAGAGACGCCTCAGAATTATACAAGTTCATGCGCCGACTTCTGCCTCAGCAGATGGTGAATATGAGCGATTCCTTAACGAAGTAGAAGCAGCAGGACACCCCTTTAGAGGTTCATCTATGCTTGAAATAATCTTCGGCGACTTCAGTGCAGTCATAGGACGCTCTTTCAATAAAGAGCCTGGATGTGGACCTCATGCTACTGCTAAAAGAAACGATAGAGGCACGACACTACTGTCGTTCTGCTACGCAAATGGCCTTTTAGTCACCAACACCTTCTTCAAGAAAAGGTTCAAAAGAAAGTGGACATGGAGAGGCCCAAACGGAACCACCCGTAGTGAAATAGACCACGTACCATGTCCCAACTTGAAGTTTGTTTGCGATATGACAGCGCTTTCTAGATGCAATGTCGGTAGCGATCACCGCAAGGTACGAGTAACTTTGGCGATGTCTATGAGGCCTGCTCATTTCCATCAAAAAGGAAGACCCTCGCCACAGCCCTTCGACAAGTTGAAACTACAGGCTGCAGTGACAACGCAGCCCCGTCCAACAACTGGTTTCCAATTTTCAAGCTTCGTAGAGGCGGCTAAAAATTGCATGATCTTGGCTCAACCTTGTCAGCAGCGAGCGGAAGCGTCTCTGCTCGCACAAGGGCACTGATGGCAGAGCGAAGAAAGCAGAAATTCGGATGGCAACTCTACCCACGAATACCTTTCTATACACGTTGCTATGTAAACAAGTTCGATGGTCACTCACAGATGATTTGCGCAAGCACAACGACCGATTTGTGGAAAGCGCAATCGAAAAATTGAGGATAAAGTAAGATACGAGTTGGCTTACGTGCATAAACAGATATCACAACTTCTTCGTGCAGATGGTTCTTTGACGACGACACTACTGGAAGCCATTGATGCCGCCACTGCGTTTTACAATGAGCTGTACCGATCCTCTCGAGGACCTTTTGTCTACTCCGTGACTGGCCCGTTGGGACGGCCGATTACTGCAGCGAACTCTGTGAAGCATGCCGCGGCATGCGTGGAAATACTGCAGCCGGCCCTGACGGAATCCCATTCAATGTAGCGAAATATCTAGTCCCCGTGTGCGCAGACGATCTCGCTTCAGAACTCATCCAATTTTTCGTACTCAACCAAAAACCCAGAAAGCTTCGTCAAGGTCAAAACCATCCTTCTCTATAAAAAAAGTGACTCTTTCAACATCAGGGACTATACACCAATCTCCTTATTGACAACGCTCTTCAAAGTTCTCACCCGTGCACTGGCTCATCGAGTGGAAGAGGTAGTAGTGAGCTCCATACCCATTGAGCAAACTAGATTCAGCCGCGGCTTCTCCACCCGTGACCATATTATGTGCGTCAACCAGCTGATGGAAAAATGCCGTGAATGGAAGAAACCACTTCATATGGTATTCGATGATTATTACAAAGCATTCGACACTATCGAATTCCACGCCATCTGGAGAGCGTTAGCTAAATATGGAGTAGGCGACTGCACGATTCGAATGATTAAGCAATTCTATGCTGCTGGCCGATCATTTTTGGTTCTCAGTGCTACAAGGAAATGATCGACATACAACGAGGAGTTCGACAAGGAGACTCATTAGCTCCATTGCTGTTCATTCTAACACTCCATTCCTGCCTTGATGACATTGTCTGGGAAGATCAAGGATACCCCATTGGTCAACATCGTCTCAATTGCCTAGCATATGCTGATGATCTCTTTCTGTGCTCTCTAACTATTGACGGATTACAGATAGTGCTCAATGAACTGAAGATGCTGGACTAGAGGTGAACGCAAATAAGACCAAATGGATGTCAACCGGTTCCAAAGGTCATCAACTCAGAGCAAACGAGCTGGAGACAACATCGTTCGTCTACCTGGGCCAAGTCTCCTGTTTTCCTCAAGAACGCGGTCAGAAAATTAGCTCTTGGATCAGCTGGCATGGAACATCCACAGAAGAGTCAGAACTCTAATAAGAAACAAGATGACGCCAATACAGACCAAACGACGTTTTTCTGATATTTGCGTGTTGCCTGCACTACTGTACGGATGCGAGACGTGGGCATTAAACAAGGAGCATGAAGAACGTCTGAGGAAAACTCAGCGAAGAATGGAACGTCAGATGCTGGGTTTTAGACGCCGTAACAAAGTACCGGATACAGCTATAAGAGAAAGGACACAGCTGAAAGACGTCGTTGATGAACCCAGAAAACGCAAATGTATATACGCGAATAACTTGATGACCAGTGATCAAACACGATGGGAAGTGATTGTTGAATTGGAAGCCCTCCGGAAATAGAGCAGTTGGAAGGCCACGAATGCAATGGGGAGACGATCTTGAGATGTTTGCTCGAAGGGAATGGAGGGACATCGCAACCACTCCCGAATGGTTTCAGAGCACGGCCCGTTTCTCTGTATATGTCAGATGAGTAGCGTAAATAAAACTGTAACTGTAAACTGTAAACAACTGCACACTGAAGATCGCGCGCATGTTTCCTCGGTTCGAACTATGACTTTCTGTACCTGATCACTAGCGTATCTAGAAAATTGCTTTGAAAAATGGAACTTCTCTGTCTTTCTCAAAAGGATCACCCTTCTTTGGGCCCAAAGGATACCCAAGATGCGTAATTGTTTTGCAAAGTCCGAGCAGCTCAGAAACCTGATTTGCGTCACAATATTGATCCAGAAGGTCTGGTATGCATCTTCTCGTTGGGATGAATATCTAAATAATACGCTCGGCATCGAGTGATTTCATGTAAGTGACAAGTGGCGCGCTTAACCACTGCGCATGCCGGTCCTGGGTTTCTGAATCCCAGCCGACACCAGGCCAACCAAGCCTTCTACCCTCCGGGGACGGTAAATTGGTACCAGATTCGTCTGGGAGGATAATGACACTGACTTGTACATCGGCTGGCCCCCGCAAGTCATTGTATAGGCCACATCGCATTCAATAAGCCACTACGATTCTGAATGGAAGTAGAATGCGTGCCGCATCCCACAAAGGGATTGATTAACGGCGAAGACTTTATCCTTTTTATCCTTTATGCTCGGCATCAAGTGATTTCATGTAAGTAAGCGTCATGCACGACGTGATGCCAAGCCCAATTCAAGTTGCAAAATTATTTCTGATCTGTCACTTATAGAGAATGACTCCTCTTGCGCGGATTACCTCTGTGTATCCGGAAGAGCCATAGTATTTCCAAGCCCTTGAAAACTGTACTTCTGTCAAATCGAAAAGGGCATCGGCTTCCGACGGCAACATTGTAACTTTATGTAAGTATGTTCATTCAAAACTTCAACAAGCTGTCAGAGCTGCGGCAGTACGAGGTTGTTTCCCCCACTATTTAGGTAAATAGAACAGATCTTTATTGAATTTTCCGTTCTCGCTTCAAAGCGTTACGAGGGAGCAATACCGGGATTCTTCTGAAACTTGACTCAGTGCGAGCAAACTATGCTGTTTCCTTCCCTGAACGGTTACATTAAAAGGGACCTCGAGCATGGCACTTTTTTTGAAATCGGTTCCCTCATGCAAGCTACCTTAGTCGACTGCCCTCGGCAAAGATCTGCCTCTGTTCAGGCTACTCACTCTTCCAAACAGGTGAAGATTTGCTTTCTTTCACTTGATGTGCGGTCAAACATTTATACAGCCTCCACTACGTCTACCAAGGTTTCTATTACACTAGGATGGGAGCAACGTAAAGTCGATTTTCCTTAATGTCTTACGTTGACCAATCAAAAGGGTTACTCCACAACGAAAACGGTTTAGAAGAACGACCCATGACCAGAATCCTAAAATTTTTTCTTGGGGTGAACAGCTGGAGTAATGTGTGATAACGCTAACCTACAATGGTCCTCTTTTTCCTTTTTTTTGAAAAAGCAGGCTCCACGGTGTGGACGCAGATTTCTGCTGTGAGGTAAGCAGCATCAATTTTTCTTCCGTATTAAGATGTAACAATTATATTACTGATCACTGCTGATGATTGCACCGGTATATGTGCGTGGGCTAACACGCTTCCCCATTCATTCATCTGTTCCAATTATAGTTATTTTTTGTAGGGTTTTTTGGTGAAGAAACGTGACGGCACCGTTTATGAAGGCAACTGCTGGCCTGGAGACTCCACCTATATCGATTTCATCAATCCAGACGCACGCAAATTCTGGGCTGGCCTATTCGCATTTGACAAGGTGAATTTCAAATACATACGTCGACCATGGCAAGGTTTCCCTCAGAGAACACTTTCTATATGTTCCACTTTCCTTCGCTTTTTCCTACCTTTACGGTAAGCATGTGGTTGCAGTGGAAAGTAGGGTAGATTATGAAAATCATAACGTGAGCATGGGGATAGTTTTGTCACCTTTGGTCAATCTATTCCAAAACTGAATAAGTGCAAAATGTGCAGAGATTACTAATCAAAGTTTGCTATTACCGCTCGATTTTCTCTGCCTCTCATGGTAGCTCTAATATTCTATTTTCATGGAAGGGCGCTGTTTTGATCGAAAAAAACTGACAGTGCATGCAGAGCTCGCATCTGGTTTTTTCAGCGCTATGATTTTTCTACCAGTAAAAAGTAACAGAGAGTAAGGTCCGGCGAATACGGCGATGAAGCGATGATTAGGCGCTTCTCATCTGGATTTTATCATAAACTGCCGGACACACCCACGGAAAAAGACCCAAACAATCCAGGATTTGAAAGTCAGTCGCGTCGCGGCTCATAGAGGGTATGCCGATTCTTCTTGTTGTGCCTGTCCGAGGAAGGGTGACTTGACTCGTCTTCAAGATCATTGCCTCCAGCTGAGAAACTCGGTTGGTTTGACACAAGAGAGGAATGGAAATAGAGTAAACGCTTCAGATGTCCAATCCGGAACAGTTTACTTCTTGGCGATCTAGGAAGCTTCACGCAAATAGAAAATCTCAAGTGTACTACAAAGTAAAGTGTATTGAGGGTCTATGTGTGTAGTAGATGGAAAGTGTGAAAAGTGGTATAACATCCATATATAATGTAAAATGTGTTTAATGTGAAGCATGTTGTGTGCGACAAAAAGGACGGACTTATCTGGGGCGGGGCATGTAATGGGATCCATTGTGTGCAGAAAATGGGTGGTGGGCGCTTCGCGCAAGATTGGCGAAAAAAAAGCCGCTCCGCGGAAAAACCTGGAAGAAGGAGACAGTTGTCATAACAAAACTGCTGACAAGATAGTTTATTTGACTCAGTGGCATGAGCTTTTATTACTCGGAGAACTTGATGAAATTTCGATTTAGGACATATCAATTGTTCATGGGTGATACGCTGTAAGAAGAGATGGTTTTGTGCTCTTCCTCACCAAGAATTCCTGACCTATTCTCCTTTCATGCCTGGGATGAAACGAAAGGGGGGGGGGAAGTAGTCGCTCTAGGAACCCCCTTCTTTATTCAAACGATTTGCTCAGTTTTCCTTATAGTGCGCGCTCGGTGTTTGCTCAAATCTACCGGACCTTTCACATGAGCATGGAAGTACAATTCAGCTGCTCTCACACTCCATACCTCGAGAATTTGCAGAGCGTGGCGGTGTACTTCGTCTGGACCTGTCCGCGCTTTGCAGGAAATTGAAGTGGAGGTGTTAAACAGTGAGAAGGTAAGGTTCTTTCAGTGAGAGAGAGAGCTACCGACAGGACAGAGCAGCCCTGCCAGACCTTCAGGGGACTCCTTCTGCGTGTGGCTGACCGCTCATGCACCTAGATCCTAGGTCAAAAACTGGAAAAATCGGCGTTCCAGATTATCTCATCCACACGAGTCTCAAAAGGTGATTGACGGAACCAACTAATCCATGCCTAAAGGATTTGGTGATGGCAACAAGGGCTGCAATTGTAACAAAAAGTGTAGGACATGTAAATCAGAACAACTAAAGAAGCAGATGCTGATTATATTACCAAAAATTTGGTGTACCGTTCAAAATGCGATTCTTGCGGAATAAAACAAGTTGGAATGACCTCGGAAAAATTCAGGGGAAGAAATTTGGAACATACCAATATCTCTTCACACAACGTGGACACAATGTTTCTATGAATGTGATGAAGGTATTTCAGATCAAGTACTAGACTGCATGAAGTCGATTGATGAAACAGCGTCACTGAAAAGAGAACCTTTTTGGATCGAACTTCTGATGACCACAACCTTTCGGGCTGGATGATCTCATGAAGTACTATGGAAACATTACAGATATAGAAAATTCTCTTAGGTACAAGAGTAATTACCCACTCTTCTCACGAAAAATTGCTTAACAAAGTAATAGGGGAAGAAGTAGAAGGAAGAAACTAAATACATGCGATAATATTATACAAATACATGCGATAATATTATACAAAAGATAACAAGCAGTAGTGGAACAGTCAGACCTACACAATACTACAAAATGTTGAACATCATACGACGCAATGCTCAGCTTGCAAACTGCTCGCACGGACTTTGTTGTGAGTAACCGTTGAATTTCGCCCAGTTTCCCACGAGTTTTCTAAGGAACTTACCCACATTTCTCAAGGCAGAGGGATGGAGGGTACGTCGAGCAGAGGGGTGGAGCGTACACACAGCGTTTGTGAAAAGGGGAAACCCTACAAGGTCAACAATTGGAAACATTCTCCACAAAAAGCAGACACGACCCCTTCCAGGTAGGGGGATTCCCATGACCAGGCGTACTCTAAGCGGCAAACCCCTAAACATGCCACCTCGCACACAGGAAGCTTCCAACCCGTGAACAGTCTTATGGTGCGCTTTCAGAGTAAGTCATGGAGATATCCCACCATTCACTAATATGAAAATGAAGTGTATCAATTGCTAACCCATCACGGAAGCTTGCCAAACCAACAGCCTGCATGACAATTGCTTTGCACTATTCCTTTAACAGCTTTGGTTTTCGAGCATTATCAAGATACCCCTAAAAACACAAAGGACTAATCATAGGAAACGATTACAACGTAAAAAGAAAGCTCTTAAAAGTTCACATCATCCAAAACAAATACCTGGACGAAGGTAGATCCTGAGCTGGGAGCAGTTGATTTTTGTCTCGTAACGAAACCTCCAGTAGGAAGGACATAGAGCTGTAAAACTCAACTTAGGAGCACTCAAGGCATAAGAGCGCGTTCA